TTTACATTGCATTCGTAGATTCCTTGCATTTGTGCCTGGAAAGTATACTTACTCTGTGGCAGACTACTGAGAAACTATTTTGATTTAGAATGCCAGCAGAATTTTTAAAACAAGGCAATACAATGTGGATTAGCATATCACAAAGGGCATTTACTCAAGATTTTTAAAGGAAGCCAAACATAAAATTGCTGAGTAACTCTGGGCTGCTGCTTAAGATGGCCTTTTTGCCAGAGAAATGGGGGGTTCCAAATAAGATATGATTTTTGAAAAGGTGACTAGGGAGATGCAGGAATGGAGTCCCCCAGGGGTCTCTTGTTGGACCTCTACTCTCTCACATTTTCACCAATGGTCTGGAAAAAGGGGTGAGGAGGAATATGTGACAATATCTGTTGATGACAGTGAATTCTTCAGGGTAGTGGAAAATTAGCTCTGGACAACAAGCATTGCAGAAAGTTCTCACTGGTAGCGTGTAATGCTGTTAAAACAGTAGACAAAATTATAGGTCACTAAATAAAAAACAATGAATGAATCAGAGGGGTAAATGATCCTAAGAATGCACAAATAGCAGTGTGCTCTAAATTAGGTATTTATTGCAGCTGAGGAAGGATATATTGTAATCAGAAGAGATATTTCTGAAACTGTGAACTGTGGCAAGAAGAAAATAGAATGTTAACAATCTTTAAAAAGCAACAGAAAACAAGACACAGCATCATTTGCAGATGTATAAATCTGTACTGTGCCCTCAAGTTTTGTATGCAATCCCAATTCCCTTCCTCCACATCTCAGAAAGGTGTTATCAAACTTTGCAGAGTGAAGAGAAAGTTGAGCATTAAAATATATTGCTTTTTAAATTTTTTTAATCTGTGTAAGGACAAGGACACTAGACTAGATGAGAACTTCATAGATTAAGATTCTTCGTCTTGGGAAAAGACAAATGGAGAGGCAGAAGTCGACATTAGGTACAGAAAATTGCAAGTTGTGTAGTTGGTTGAGTAGGAAAGCTGAACAGACAACAATAAAGTAAATTGTCAAATGAAATTATGGGGCAATTTTACAATAAAAAAGGAAATAATTTTTTACAGATTAAATCAATTATCAAAGTTGACTATTTATTTCCACAGTGTGGGGGGGTTCAAAAATGATAAATAAATTCATAGTGATCCCCTGATGACTACTAAATGTGATAACACAATCTCAGGTGCATGAAATCTCAAAGCCACCAATTGCTGGAATTCGGGAGAATATACTGAGGAAAGTATCGTTTGTTCTCTATTTTTGTTTTTAGAATCTTTGCCAAATCATCTGCTGCTTAGGATTGCTTAGGTATGGAGCTAGAAAATGTACTGTCTACTACAGGTGTTATTACAGATAATAATATATTTGTGAGTGTACAAATCAGCAGAGCACCTGTGTGTAACTAGTGATCTCTGAATCATTTCAGGCATTTGTAGGAGATCTGCTGTATTTGATTTTGGTGCCAGCAACAGCTTAATTACACCTGTGTTCACCGTCTAGGTGCTTTAAATGCACGGTCTCCAATTCCACTTCTTTCTCCTCAAGTAAAACTTCATGATAACGTGTAAAACATTAACAGTAATGTAATGCAAAATGGCGATTAACCATTCATCCAGTGACCATTTAGGTTGGCTGAAATTGTTGAACTACCTCATGGTGTTCAGTCAGTCACCCGCGCCCCAGTGCTTGGATTTGAAGTGCTGCACAAAAGCATCCACATTACCACACTCCAGAAGCAGCAAATCCACTTGGCTTTGGTTATTCTAATCCTGAGGCTCTTTCTCTACTTTTTTGGTGGGACTCTAGGCATGGATGAAATGCTCTGTTTTGCTCACTTTAGTTTTTAGGTGAGATGTCACTGTATTTTTTTGAATTTGTTCTCCCAGCCTTGTACTAACCTTGGGCTATTTGAAGACTCTTGGTTTTCATCATTCATAGAGTGGAGAACATGGGTCACAGTCTGACTCCACGTTCTTAGTACTTTACTACTATTGATGGCATTTACTACTAGCTGTTTGTATTAAGGATAGTAGGTGACAGTGGTTACATGTTTAAATACGTGTGTCATGCTGACTGCGTAAAAGAGCAGCAGCTGAAATGAGAGTACCACAACATAAGAATTTTATTGTTGAAGAAGAGTTTTGCAATGTGGGAGTCTGATATAAGCTTCCCTGTTCCTTTACCAATAAAATATATAACAACGAAGTGTTTCTTAAGAAAATTGATAAACAGAATCATCGTGCTAATTCTCTCCCCTGGGCTCAGGTGCATTATCACATCATCACAGCTTGACAAACTACAATGTCAATTGAATTGCCATAGAAGAACATAAGTATGCTCTTTGCCTATGGCAAATGTAAAGTAATATGACTGAGCTTAATCCTTGATGAAATATTTACTTTATCTTGCCACTGTGTGCACACAACTTGTGGCTCATGTGAAATACGACTTGACCATTTATTTAACTCATCCTCATAAAACGTTTTTCATGGTAAATAAGTTGCCCTAAAAGAGCAATTAGTTTGAGGTAGGAGTACATGCGTAGCATTGCTTCAGAGGTCTACCCTCACATGGTGAGAGCCAGCCCTGCATTCCGTCTTCCTCACTGCAGGTTCCTTCAATATCTTTATATTCTATCTTGTGCCCAACACCTTTTTTTCTTTTTTCTTTCTTTTTTCTCTCTCTCTCCCCCAAGAAATCTTTATGAATCCAGGGCTGGGCAGCAAGTCAAAAATGAAATCAAAATCTTTTGAGGATAAAGGCATTTTAATGCAGGTTGAAGTTCAATAATATTCTAGGTCTGACAAGTACCGTGAATTTGCAGTTGTTCTCAATATGACTATTCTATTTCAGCTTGCTGCATTACATTAAATAGATAATCTACTTTTTTTTAGTTCATCCATCCCACAGGCAGCAATGCATTTATGATATTTCTTCACACGTTGGTAGTCTTGCTTTATAACATGCTCAAAAATGTATGTCTTTTGTCCTTTTTTTTTTTTTTTACATAGGGCATTATTTTTCTGGATAAAGTTTTGTTATTTTTGAGTTGGCAGGTTGACTGTTACTAGAGAGTGACTGTAAATGCTGTCATATTTTGCAGAAGTAAGGGAGTTACCTCTCTTCCAAAGAATAATCTGATAAGCCTACTGAATATAAGTTGGTTTGAGAATATTGCAACTGAAAAACTTAGCTTCTTTAATTTGAAAATGGAAATTTTAGAATATTTTCAAGACAAAATATTTTGTCCACATATGATTGTAGATTTCTAGAAGTTTCTCACGATAGGGTCACTAATTTCAACAAGCAGGGTGACTGAGTGTCTCTCCTTTTCTTTTTTTTTTTCTTCCCCACTTCTTTTTTTTTTTCCTTAAGTATCCTTAGAAGTATGGAAGAGGTCACTGAAAATATGATGAAAAGCATTTGTGAAATCAGAACAGAAATAGAAGGCTGGGATCATAGCTGTTTCGGATACTTTGTCAGATCTGAATATCATCATGGTAAAGGTGCCCTGTTTTAGACAGGGTTTGATGTATATAGGTTAGTTGCCGCAATGGGTTACACAAGACTGTGTAAGACTGGGCGCAGTGTAGGTGAATTTTTAATGCTGCCCTTCCCTTTTTGTAGCATTGTCTTGCAAGCACAGAGTATCGTGGTTTCCATTTAATTACCTTTGAAATAATTGTCCAATTACACAATAATATGTGGCCAATCTTTCATGAGTTTCACATGTTTCAAAATAGACAAGGGAGTGGTGTTGAAGACACCTGCAATTGAGGACATTGGTGGAGAGGAGAGAAAATAGAAGGTACTTGTAGTGGTCAGTAACAACTGCAGTGTTAAAGGTCCTTCTTTTAAGGTCTACGTTGCATCAGCTGATACAATGTGAGGTCTAAATGTCTCGCCTAATTTGTGGCATATTAGAGAAGAATGTTTGCCTCGAGGTCTAAGGTCTGATGCTTTGATGAGATGAAATGTATTGATCACAAGTTTCTGTTCTGTATTTTCAGAAGAATGGCATATCAAATGGAACTCTCTACAAAAAAAAATTTGTTGAGCACTTTGAACAGGCACCAATGTATGTCGCTGTTCTTACTTTCCTGGGTTTTGGAGTGGGAACAGTATTTGGCTACCTGCGAGACTTTATGAGAGCCTGGGGACTAGAAAAACGCAACATTGCTGCAGAAAGAGAACAACAAAAAGTATGTATGAAAAAGACATTATGTATCCAAAGCTGAGTTTTGGCCTGCCTGCAAGTTATGTACAATAACCTACCAAAGTAACAAGGCAGACAACTTTCATCTTGGAGAAAAACATTGCACAGGCATGAGAGGAATGACATGCACTGCAGAATAGTTAAAGACGTGTATGAATACGTACCTATATATGTAAAATCCTAATTTTCACCCAAAGAGACATTCATTTTGCTCTAAGAGCAAAAAAGCGTCGGAACACTCTGAGCAAAATAGAATGCACAGAAAAAGAAAACTCAGAGAGGCCTTATTGTTAAATAGATCGTCTCTCCAAATCTCTTAAATCCCAATTTTATTTTGTCTCATCTGGCTGTCTTACTTTGTGCTTCATAGTGATAGGTAGTGCTAATGTCTTTGTATTTGCTGTCTTATGTTTGCTGAACTGCGGGTCGCAGAGCACTCGGGAATCAATGTCCCAGCACAAAGTGAACATAGCCTGAATTCTTGTGAGTCTCGACTTAGAAACTTTTTCGTCCCACATAGTTCTAAGTGAAACTCACGAAATATAATGAGTTGCTTATCCTAGTTTTTCAATCTGCTCCACACGTAGCAAAATGCTCAATTTCAAGCATTTGTTTTCTCAAAGTGAAAGAATCATGAGTTCTTCTGTTTCCAATTTTCAAAACATTGGACTGGAGAATTAGGCAAACTTGTTGACCATTTAAACAAACAAAAAAAAACCCAAAACAAACCCCCCCACAAGAAACAACCACCCCCTAAAAAAGCCAAAACTGTATTTCAAGGGAATTAAAGTAAGATTAAGATATTTTCTGATTGGAGTTGTTTGTGACATAGGAACATGTGGCTGTTATAGCTCTCTGTTTACTAATGATTCAGTTTTTCTTTTTAATGGGACTGAGTTGGGTACAGAAGCAAACATTTTCCTAGCAACATAACCCTGTGCATGTTTTCAAACCAGGATTTTGTGCCACTTTATCAAGATTTTGAGAACTTTTACACCAGAAACCTCTATATGAGAATACGGGATAACTGGAATCGTCCAATTTGCAGTGTCCCAGGGCCACAGTTTGACCTCATGGAACGCGTTACCGATGATTACAACTGGACATTTAGGTGAGTCAGCTTACAATTTGCAGCTGTCGGCTTCATAAGGATAGTCCTGATGTATCTGCAAAGCACAGAAGATTCCATCTAGCCCCTTATACCTAGATCCTCGACTAATACATCTCAGCACATTTTCTTTCTAAAATCAGTACCACGCTGACAATCTCTCCCCTTTCTTCTGAATGTTGTTTGGAAATGCATATGGAAGTGACTGCACTCTATCACAAATGGGTTTTATTTGGCTATGTCAGCACAAGATTTCTTATGCTTCATTTATAATAACAGACCTTTAGTCAGGATATTACAACGAAATTTGTTGTATCCCTTGGTTAGGATTTAAATCAGGATTTCTTGCATTGCATAAATGTTGCTTCTTACTTACACAGTGAGTCTTTGGCAGTGAGTTTTATGCAATTTATGCCTTGAAGATTTCAGTGTATCGCAACTGTTACTGTGTTATAGATACGGAAACTCACTACATAGACAATGTGTAGGTTGACTATATTTCAGCTTATTGAGAATGTATCACAGTGTTTCTCACAGCATTTTCATCATGTAATTTCTCTCTGTGTGTCTGTGAACACTTACGACTTTCTGTGAGCTGTTGACAATTCACTTGAAAAAAATAGTGGCTCTAAGTTGTTTCCTATATGAAGTCCTAGCTTTTGTTTGTTTATTTACATCCATAAAAGCACCGTTTCACCTAATGCCAGTATATTGCCATCTACTGTTTGGAATCTGGAAAAGATTCTGATCAGGATGCAGTATTTAGTCAGGAAAATAGAAAGGCTGGAAAAACTTTTAGGATGTTGAAGTATGAGGATTGTAAATTCCCAAATAGGGATTTGACAGTGGAGCAAAATTTGGTGGGAAAATTTGGGTTTTTTTTTTTTCTTTTCTTTTTGTTTGGGATTTGAGTGAAAGTAGCACTATTCTTCAAAATTTGCTTTAATTATAGGTTTACAGGAAGGATTATCAAGAACGTAATCAATATGGGTTCTTATAACTACCTCGGCTTTGCAGAAACGGATGTTAATGCTTTGAAAACTGTGACCATAGAGTTACAAAAATATGGGACAGGAATCTGCAGTACCAGACAGGAAATGGGTGAGTAAACAGCTAGACGGCCACCAAAATTTCTGTAACTGTATGCTTTTTCTTGCAGATATCTTGAAGGAATTGGATACTTAGAGAATTTTAGTCATATCAACAATTGTTTGTTTCACTATTAAAAGTGATGCTGTGTTTTATTTGTTATCACATAAGGATTTTTTTAAAAGGAAAAATGTTATTGGATTATTGGAAAAGCACAACCAAATGTGTCATACAGTGGCCTGGGAATTTTAATGATGAAAGTAACAAGCTTATTTTTAAAAGAAGTAAAATAAACATTGAGACTTCAAGAATAGTTCTAGGGCAGATTTAATTGCATCACAGATTTATATCAGTTACCACAGTGTTCTGATTAGTAAAATGACCTTTTACATAATTTTTTTTTAATCCCATATTCTAAGAATATATTGTAATGTTTCATGAGACATTAATGGGCATAACATAGAAATTTCCAGTGTGCCTCTTAGTAATAAATTCAGGAAGGCTCCATCTGACTTTTTTGGTTTATGTGTCCTTTATGATTTGTCTACTTTCTTGTTTTGTAGACTGCGTGTAGTGTTACCTGTAGTTGTATATTTTTACACAAAGCCTTGCATTCTTAATGGTGCAATCAGCCTGCATCTCAGAAAAAAAAAAAAAAAAGTGAGAGAAATGGAAGGGGAGGTTTCTCTTCAGGCTTTATCTTTCTTGGGAGCTATCAAAAGGAAAAAAGGTAGCACGGAGAAGGCTTCTACAGACTTTTTTTCCCCCTAATCCAGCAACCTAAAAAATTTTCAGTTTGTATCTCTCAAAGAAAACTAATTTCCTCCAGAAATCTTATGGAAAAAAATATTGTATTTCATTTGGCTTTTTATTTAAAGTCTCATTTCCAGACAAAAATAATGCAAACCTTGTCATCTGCTTGTTACCTTGTCATCGTGGCTTGATTTGCAATAATAAATCTGTCAGTGGCACCACTCAGAGAGGGTTTACAGATTGACCCTACTTTCCTTTTGTAGGTGACCCATCTGGTGACTGCAATATTTGTTTAACCTGAATTGCATGCTTGAAAGTGGTCACCATTACTAGTCATCTAAGGTATTGAAGGAACATTTCTGTGTCTTTTTGTCTTGGATTCTGTTTTGCCTGAGAACCTTTCAAGTTGTTTTCAGTAGGTCGAAGAATATGCCTGCTGTTCCTCATTCTTTATCTTTTGCGTAATTTTTTATATGGAAAACTTGCATAACTTTGACTTATTCTCAAAAAAAAAAAAACCAACTTATTAAAAGATTGATTCTGTCTTCAAATACTAAAAATCTTATTAGTTAACTTCAGCTGGTCTGTTTTGAGAGCCAGTGTATACAGATTTCTAGGACTTTCTCATCATCTGAACTTCTGTGCAGTATTCAGAGTTATCTTGATGGATTGAGCAAAGTTTTAGATTCATTCTAATTGCTTTCACAACAAATAGTCCCATGAACTTCATTCAGACTATTCACAATGCAAGAATGGGCTGCAAATAAAGAACATTGTGCATGTCTCATCAGTATCAGTCTTTTAGGGAGTGAATTTCAGAGAGAAGCTTGGACATCAAGACTTATTAAAATAGTAAAGCAGGGTGTTAAGACCTGGCTCAGATGGCATAGATGAGTAGTCGTAGGATTTGGTACTGCGCAGCTAACAAAGCCTGTACTTGTGTAGTCAGTGGAGAGAGGTTGTTCCGCAGCGCAATTCTGACCAATGCTTAGTTCATTGGCCCTGACTCTGCTGGAACCTGTCTACCACGAAGATCTTTAGCAACAACCTAAGGAAAAATAGCAGTGTGGGTACCTTCTTTTCTTTTTCCTTTACCCTTTTGCGCTGCTTCAGCTCTATTCTGGTTCACAGTTGAGTGGACTTGAAAAATTCTGTCCAAGTTAAACATATATACAGGTATACTTTCAAGAGGGATGTAGAGAAGGGTCTGTTTGAAAGGTCTTACCTTTTTTAATTATCATCTGCCATCTTCATCTTAGAAAAACAGAACAGAATGGTTTTGTTCCTGGGCAGATAACATTTCAAAACTTCTATTGTTATTGTGTGGCTGAGCTAAAGCAGTTTGAAGTTAAAATGCAGTGAGTTGTAGGACCCAGGGCTATAAATTGCCTCTGGGGTCCTAATCCAAGAGAGCACTTGAACAATGAGGAGAGGTGCCATGCTGGACCTTGTTCTCACCAGCAAGGAGGGGCTGGTAGGGCATGTGAGGCTCAAGGGCAGGCTTGACTGCAGTGACCATGAGATGGTGGAGTTCAAGATCCTTAGGGCGGTGAGGAGGGCACATAGTAAGCTCACTACCCTGGACTTCAGAAGAGCAGACTTTGGCCTCTTCAGGGATCTGCTTGGCAGAGTACCATGGGATAAAGCCCTGGAGGGAAGAGGAGCCCATAAAGCTGGTTACTATTCAAGGATCACCTCCTCCAAGCTCAGGAGAGATGCATCCCAACAAAGAGGAAGTCGGGCAAAAATGCCAGGAGGCCTGCGTGGATGAATGCAGAGCTCCTGGAGAAACTCAAACTCAAAAAGGAAATGCAAAGGACTTGTGCAAAGCATTTGACACTGTCCCACATGACATCCTTGTCTCTAAAATTGGAGAGACATGGATTTGATGGATGGATCACTTGGTGGATAAGGAATTGGCTGGATGGCCACACTCAAAGAGTGGGGATCAATGGCTCAATGTCCAAGTGGCAACCAGTGATGAGTGGTGTTCTCAGGGGTCAGCACTGGGACCGATGCTGTTTAGCATCTTTGTCGGCAGTATGGACAGTGGGATTGAGTGCACCCTGAGCAAGTTTGCCGGTGACACCAAGCTGCAAACCTCATGAAGTTCAGTAATACCAAGTGCAAGCTCCTGCATATGGGCTAGGGCAATCCCAAGCACAAATACAGGCTGGGCAGAGAGTGAATTTGGAGCAGCCCTGAGGAGAAGGACTTGGGGGTATTGGTTGATGAGAAGCTCATCGTGACCCAGCAATGTGCGCTCGCAGCCCAGAAGTCTAACTGCATCCTGGGCTGCATCGAAAGAAGCATGGCCAGCAGGTCAAGGGAGGTGATTCTGCCCCTCTAATCCACTCTCGTGAGACCCAGCATAGCGTACTGCATCCGGCTCTGGAGGCCCCAACATAAGAAGGACACGGACCTGTTGGAGCAGGTCCAGAGGAGGGCCACAAAGATGATCAGAGGGCTGGAGCACCTCTCCTGTGAGGACATGCTGAGAGAGTTGGGGTTGTTCAGCCTGGAGGAGAGAAGGCTCTGGGGAGACATTATAGCAGCTTGCCAGTACTTAAAGGGGGCCTATAGGAAAAATGGGGGGGGACTCTTTTATCAGGCAGTGTATTGATAGGTCGAGGGGTAACATTTTTAAACTGAGAGAGGGGAGATTTAGAATAGATATTAGGAAGAAATTCTTTACTGTGAGGGTGGTGAGACACTGGCACAGGCTGCCCAGGGAAGTTGTGGCTGCCCCATCCCTGGAGGTGTTCAAGGCCAGGCTGGATGGGGCTTTGAGCAACCTGGGCTGGTGGGAGGTGTCCCTGCTATGGCAGGGGGGTTGGAACTAGATGATCTTTAAGGTCCCTTCCAGCTCTAACCATTCTATGATTCTGTGAACTTATTTATAATTTCAAGCTAATTGACTTTGAAAGTACTGTTCTGCTTGTGTGCATTTAAGTCTCTGGCATGTTCAGGGTTTTACCAAGATGTCTCTCAAAGCAGTGATAGGTATCTCTTTTTGAGAAGGATCATCCCAGTATTTTGAGAAGATTTCAGAGAGGGGAAAACAAAGAAGAAACAAATAAAATTAATGCGAGTGAGGTTTGAAAGAATATGTGACGGTAAAACTGTCCTTTGTGGTCTTCAGCCTAAAATCCTCCTCTTATAACTGTGCAGACTGTGGAGTGAATCTAAAATGCTGATGTATCAGAATGTTGTTGCAGGTAATTGCCTCTCAGAACACGTTAATATGGACATTTTAACATGGTTGTTTGTAGCTTTACAAAACTGTGTTTTATTAAGGAAACTTAGTGAAACTAAACCTTGCTAAATGTAAAACAGTTATTCTACATTCCCAGAAAAGCATCTTAAGACTGTGTGTAAACATAGCTCAGATATTAACTTCAGTAAGAACTGTAGAGCCCTGTTCTTAGTTTCTCTAAAATAATAACGCACATGCCTCTTGCACAGACATTCCTGTTTAAGCACAAAAGCATAGGAAACTGATAAAAGCAGTGGCTGGTCTTCCTAGATTTGTCCTCCATAAAAAGATTTAGGGATTTTCACTTCATTTTTAATTTCATGCTCTTTTTAAATTATAATAATAATAAATCACTTTCTTAGCATAACAATGTCATTTAAGACACGTACCTGAGGCTTTTGTGGGACTTTCAATCTGAAAGAAAAATATTTTCCTTTTTTCAAGACCAAGCTAACTATTATCCCTTAGAATCAAGATCTTGGGATTATAAGTGGCAGTTCTGTGAAAGCATTAGCTTATCGTTCAGTGGTCAGAAAGCAAATCAAATACTAGAAATTATTAGGAAGTGAATAGAAAGCCAGTGATGACACCTCACTATGCTACTGCATAAATCTGTGGTTTGCTGTCATCTTGAGTACTCTAAGACGTTCTGGTCAAAAACATGTAGCAGAACTAGAAAGTGTCAGAGAAGGGCAACAAGGATCATCAAAGGCCTCAAGCAGCTTCTGGGTGAAGAACTGTTGAGTTAGCTGTCTTCAGCTATCAGAAATGCTTGTTGTCTTGTTCGAAAAGAGCCTAAAGGCTCTATAGAAATCTTCAAAATTATGCGTGGCGTGGAAGAGTGGTTAGGGTTGGCTGTTCAGTGTCTCTTACACTACAAGATCTACAGGGCGTTGTATGAAGTTGGTAGAAGGTTTCCTTCTAAACACAGGAGGCAGCTTTTCACACTGGAGGCTGGCAGACCCGAGGAACTCATTGCAAAGAAGGCTGCAGATGCTAAAAC